CTCTCACCGCTCGCATTCTTTCTTCCTGTGTTTGTTTGACTGTATATTCTCACGATTTGTGGGACTTTTCCTTTCTGACATATGACATCAGTAATTTGCAGTAATTTATGGCAGCCTTTGGCAACGGGAGCCTCTGTAGAATGTAAAGTCCTGCCGTCTGATAAGTGCTGGCAGTAGAAGTACAAGTACAGTAGGGTTTGTAGGGAGAAGACTCTGGTGTTTTTTTACAAGCCACATCAAATCAATATCATCTGCAGCTTTTTATCATCTAAAAACATTGCCAGAATCAAAAAGATGGAGTCTAAAGATGGCTTGGAGATTCTTATCCTGTAGGTCGAACAAACTGTAGAGGCCTGGTCTCTTCAAACAAGCTTTAAAACAGCTGCAGTGTAGTTAACATTCTGAAGCTTGAGTCCGGACTAGAACCAGGAAGTACCACCATCACATTAGTCGAGTTCTCAGGTCTCTGCACCTGTGGCTCAGAGAATAGACTTTAAAGCAGCTCTGATTGTTACAAGTCTCTCCATGGCCTCAAAGTACATCTGTGACATGTTAGTGACTTATGAAGCAACTCTGATTAAGCACAGGGACTCTGAGGAGCACAGGGACTGACCTCCTGCTGGGACTCTGAGGAGCACAGGGACTGAGTCAGGACTAAACATGAGGAGGCACCGAGACCTTCTCCACCGACTCCACTGATGTCTGCTGCCGTTGTGTCCTTTGGCAAGACACTTAACCCACTTTGCCCATAAGGAGCACGGAAATAATTATTTACTCATTTGAGAGGATAAACCCCTTGAGATGCATCATCTCGTTTACAAGAGGGTCCTCAAAAGAATTACAAGAAGCAAAAACACAAGACAGAAAACAGCAGTACAGGCTCAGAACCAAAAAATAATAATAAAGTAAAATAAAAAATAAAAAAGACAGGATGAAACAAAAAAAACAAAAAAAAACAAGCGACAACAGATACACACCGACACTCACACAGCTCTATAGTAAACACAACAGTTAAGAGTAGGACATTGTAGAACACGCATTTCAAAAACAATTACAAGGCGTCTGTAGATAAGACCGAAGGGCATTTTTATACATATTATAGGAGGTTATAGATCGGATAGAGGCAGGAGATTATTCCAGTCAAGAGGTGCTTTATGGTTAAATGAAAATTTACCTATTTCTTTTCGAATTCGAGGAACAACAAAAAATAATTGATTTGCATGTCTTAAGTTGTAACCAGAACTAAATTGTGTAAAATATTGTTTCAAATAATCAGGATAACTGAGATTAATACATTTAAAAATGAATAATAGCCAGTGAAATTGTCATCTGGAGGATGGAGTGAGCCCAGAGAGATGTTCAGCTGACAGTAAGTAATCTAGTAAGTAATCTTTATTTATATACCGCCTTTTCACTGCACATCGGAGTCTCAAAGCGGTTTACAATTGTTATTTTTTTGGGAGCAGGGGTCGCCAGTACAGGAGGCACATGCCAGACCTATTGTACATATTTTTAGTGGTAGGGGAAACCGGAGCACCCGGAGGAAACCTATGCAGACACGGGGAGAACATGCAAACTCCACTCAGAAAGGCCCTGGTCCAACCGGGATTCGAACCCAGGACCTTCTTGCTGAGAGGCAAGAGTTCTATCCACTCAGCCACCGTGCCGCCCTCACAGTGGTGAGTTCTGAAGGGACAACGGAGAATAAACCTACAAAGACTATTATAAATAACATTAAGTGGCTGAAGATTTGTAACAGAGGTGTTTTGATAAACAATATCACAATAATCAAGAATGGGAAGTTAAAGTTGCGTGACAATCCTCTTTCTCACTGAGAAACTAAAGCAATTAATAGATTGATAAAGTAATTTCAAACGATATGTGATTTTATTGGTAACAGAATGTATGTGAGAATTAAAAGAAAGGTTGGAGTCAAGCCATAAACCCAAATATTTGAATGTCTCGACAGGTGCGATTGGCAATCCGTCCAAAGATACAATATTAAGTGCACCAACTGTTGTACGTTGGTTTTTATCATAAAATAACATTGAATGGGATTTGGTTTTATTGAGAAGTAGCTTGTTTTCTTGAAGCCAATGCTGTACGTTATCGAAGTCATGTTGGAGAAAGTTTTGAATATCAATGATGTTAGGTTTTGAACTGTAAATAATAGTATCGTCTGCATAAAGTTGAATATTGCAATCTCTGTAGATCATTGATGAAAATAGAGAATAAGAGTGGTCCAAGTGATGAACCCTGCGCTAATGTTCGCTGTATGTCTTTGTGTGTTTGTGTATTCATCAAACTGAAATTTCCCCACCGTGGGACAAATACAGGACCTTCTTCTAATTCTTAAAATATCAAACAGTCTTGTCCGTCTCAATAATTGTCTACACTGCAAAAAGTGACGAAAAATAAGTGGAAAAATGATCTCGACAAAACGATAAAAACCACTCCATTCAAGCAATTATCATTTTTCCGTGTGGATTCTGTATTTTTTTTTGTGTTTATGCTAAAACCCTGCACCTACATGTCTCACACCTCTGGACTAAACCTACGTGGAGCTCGTGGCGTGCCGGGGCAGACGTGACTTTGGCAGGCCTCCTATTCTCAGAGCGGACTTCCTGGACCACATTTCTTACGGCTCCCTGAGGTGTGGGCCCTTTGTCGTCTGCTGCACAACAACAATAGGAACAAACAGCTCGGTAAATATCCAAACGCACACAACATGTTTTTCTTCTTCTGCATCGACAACACTACAGTACGCACAGAGCCTGTTGCTTCGTATTGTTGTGGAGGGAAGATGAAAAGTCTACCTCGAAGCTCTGGTACGTGTCTAAAGTCTAAGTTTAGAGCTGATGTCTGAGTAAGTCCTGGAACCATCACACAAAAACTGCCACAAACTTTTACATCTTCTTTGCCAGAACTGTGGTCGCTTTTTATCACGAAGGTTAACTGCTTAAATTAGCGAATCCCGGTCGGAACAGGGTCTTACTGAGTGGAGTTTGCATGTTCTCCTCGTGTCTGCGTAGGTTTCCTCTGGGTACTGAGGTTTCTCCTAACACTAAAAACATGTATAAAAGGTACTGGCCCCGCTCCCATCTCTGTGTGGAGTGAGAAACAAATGTCCACAATTGTAAACGGCTTTGACTCTGGTCTGTGAAAGGCGCTATATAGATAAACATTACTTTCTAACTTACTAAATTAGACGCTGTAAAACTAAAATGTACAATTATTATTCGTCCTACCCCATTTCATTAAAAATATACAGTGTTTCCCACACATAGACTAATCTGTGGCGCACCGCCACAGATTAGAGACCGCCCGCCACAAATTGCGTTTCGTATTATTATATATATATTTTTTTTGTTACGCTATTTAAAACATGCATCGTCTAGTGCCGCCGCAGCGGTCAATTTGACAGCGGGGAGGGGGGTTTAAAATGTGGCGGCCCTTCGTAACTCTCACTCAAGCTACGCGTCTCTCCCACATACAGAGACCTACACACACACAGCCCCTCCCCTTCGTGCACACCGCGTGTCTCCGTCTCCATCAGCGATCATCGCTGTAAGCAGCTGTGTCTATTAATTTACCGCGGTAAAGTGGCCCGCATCTTTCAGCTCTATGAACATGCGGCCCGCATCGGGGAAAAGACGGTGCGCGTTTTGTTGAGAACTTACGGTAACAGCAGAACATCCTTTCGGAGTCACCCATTTTTATCGAACAGAAAGCGCGCTGGGGTCTGGGAGACACGTTTTTGTGATTAAAACCTTATAGAGATGCCACCCGGCACACATAGCACCAGCCCCCTACGATTCCTCCGGCAGATTGTGAGTCCTCAGGAGGATAGCCACTCTATTGTTTACATATATAAAGTACACAATTTGGTCCGCTAGTGCAATTTTCAAGTATTGTAACTATTTACTGGAATAAGGTGTGCGACTAATTTCACTTGACTCATGACCTTATTATTGCCCTCTGCCACTGTACCAAAGACCAGAAACTTTTACTGTAGAAATATTGAGAAATATTGAGGTAAAGTAGCCATTTTGGTCCAAAATACCTCCAAAATAGTCAAAACATGTCACATTTGATCTACTGTAACTTTTTACTGTAAAAAGGTGTGCGACTAATTTCACTGGATTCATGACCTCAAGATTGTCCTCTACCACTGTACCAAAGACCAGACACTTTTACTGTAGAAATATTGATTTAAAGTAGCCATTTTGGTCCAAAATAGCCTAAAAATGGTCAAAACATGTCACATTTGATCTACTGTAACTGAAGTGTAAAATCTCTACCTTTTGGCATAAAAAGAAGCAAGTATAAAGTCCTGTATATTCTAGTGCAGGGGCTGGTGCTCTGTGTACTGGGTGCATCTCTGACTGCCATCCCCCCAACCCAGAAATGGATTAAGGGGAAGAAAATGGATGGATGAATGGATGGATATTCTAGTGCTAGTTGTATGTTTCCATCTGTACATGTTTGCAGAATGAGGGTATGGGACACGGTGACCAAGTAGAGCAGTGACACGTGTGGTTCTATATTGCACATGCTGACTCTAGTTCAAGATATTGCACCGACGCTTGACGTATGAGGTCAGGTCGGCAGTGTCCGTTAGTCCTCATTGTTTGTTGTACAGTCTGACAGCAGCAGGGAGGACAGATCTGCGGAACCTCTCCTTCACAGAGCGAGGGTGAATAAGTCTGTCACTGAAGCTGCTCTCCGGACTGGACACTTTAGTAGAGCATTCATCACATTGTGGCATTTTCATCTCTCGTTCTGATGGCAGGAAACATGATGTCTGTTCTGCTGTATGGGTTAGCTCAGGTACACACACACACACACACACACACACACACACACACACACACACACACACACACACACACACACACACACACACACACACACACACACACACACACACACACACACACACACACACACACACACAAATAACCCTGAGTCATAGCCACACGGCGCACAATGGACAAAGCATGTGGGAGAGGGCCACAGCCAATAACAAACTAGCATCACACTGCGTTCATCTTTTATCGTCCCTGAGCGTCTGTGAGGACAGAAGCTGTAAGCACAAAGTCTGAAACCCACAGAAAGAGAGACTGAAAGAGGAGGAAACACAACGCTGCATCACCAGGAGCGGGACACACACATGACAACAGAGAGAGAAGAACAAGACACTCACAGGGAAGGGCTCAGGTCCAAAGTAAGAACTGACAGTGACTGACATTTACACTGAAGCAGCAGCAGACCTGGGTCCACCTACAACTTCTTTTGCTCTTGGCCTCTCCAGTCAATTTGTATTTAGTTAAATCACAATTTCAATGAGTATAAGTATGATAAACAAATGACCTAAATGTTCTGTTTTAAAGTTTGTAGTAGATTAGAACTCCCATAGGATCATGCCCTGAAGCTGCTTTAAAATATACGTTCTGTTTATTGGATGAACAATATCGTCCAATGAACTGATTGATTTGATCCAAACAGTGCAAAGCTGAGGTTCTGCTGCTGGAAAACTACTTCCTCCAGAACAACCAGCAACACTTCTGATTTTAAAGATCAACAGTTCTGTCAAAGCTCAACACGGGGAGGTCTATAGTTCAATTTGAAGAAAGTTCTGTGAGAAGGCAACGCTCCAGACGAGACCCTAGTGGAGGAGACCCCGGAGGAGGAGACCCTGGTGGAGGAGACCTTGGTGGAGGAGACCCCGGTGGAGGAGACCTTGGTGGAGTCAATGTTCACTCATTTAGTGTGGAATTAAGGCCTGCCTGTTTGCCAAGTAAGATTGACACTTAAATGCAAAGTATGATATTGCTGTGTTTGAAACCCCCAAATACCCCTTCAGTCTGTTTATAAATGATCTGACCTTCATACTAAACTGGAGGCACACCCACAGTTATGCACCCAGAGAGACACCAGAGAGACACCAGAGAGACACCAGAGAGACACCAGAGAGACACCAGAGAGACACCAGAGAGACACCAAAGAGACACCAGAGAGACACCAGAGAGAGAGACCAGAGAGAGAGAGAGACCAGAGAGAGAGACCAGAGAGAGAGACCAGAGAGAGAGACCGACGAGAGACCAGAGAGAGAGACCAGAGAGAGAGACCAGAGAGAGAGACCGACGAGAGACCAGAGAGAGAGACCAGAGAGAGAGACCAGAGAGAGAGACCAGAGAGGGACAAAGTTGGACTGGATAATGAGCAACGTGAGCTCCACTACAGCAGTGCGTGGCGTGGGCTCAGATGCACCGAGCGCACGAGTAACGGAGACTCCTCTCCGTCTCTGCGCCAACTGGGACCAGAGCCGCGGCCGCTCAAGTTCACCACCGAGCTGAGCCGAGCCGAGCCGTGCCAAAGCAGAGCAACCCTCTCCCTGCACAATATCCTCTTTGTTAGCGGAGACAAAGCCGGAGAGGACGAGCGTGTGCGAGATCGGTCGGAGAATTTGGACGTAGAGAAAGGTCCGGTTATGTCTTTAAAACGAGAAGGAAAACCAGAGAGAGACCAAAGGGATCAGCGATATAGTCCAGAGAGAGACCAGGGAGGGACTAGATAGAGACCAGAAAAAGAGACTAGAGAGAGAGACTAGAGAGAGACTAGAGAGAGACTCGAGAGGGACTAGAGAGAGAGACCAGAAAGAGAAACTAGAGAGAGTCTAGAGGGAGACTAGAGAGGGAGAGTAGAGAGAGACTATAGAGAGACTAGAGAGAGACCAGAAAGAGAGACTAGAGAGAGACCAGAGATATCAGCAAGAGAGACCAGAGAGAGAGCCTAGAGAGAGACCAGAGAGAGACCAGCGATATCAGCAAGAGAGACCAGAGAGAGAGCCTAGGGAGAGACCAGAGAGAGAACAGAGAGAGACCAGAGATATCAGCAAGAGAGACCAGAGAGAGAGCCTAGGGAGAGACCAGAGAGAGACCAGAGAGAGAGATGATAAGTATCAAGAGCTGTGCCACGTGCCGCTAAAGTGCAACCAAAGCTCTTTGTGGTGGGTGGGGAGGGGGGAGGGGGGTATAATCTCCCCCTCTGAGTGGGAGCAAACTCAAAGCTGCTTTTGTTTCGCGGGGGCTACTTTCGCACAATCCGCCACGACCGCACCCCCCCCTTCAACCACTCCTCCCTCACCTCCCCCTCCTTCACCTCGCCCACCCCCCCTCCTCTCCTCAACGGGGGCTTATCGGCCTGAATGTGCGTTTGCAGCCGAGGATTGACACTTTTGCACTCGCCGCCGGGTTTGGATACTTCCACGCACACTTCTGTAAGACCAGTGTGGAGCCATCAATCAAACAATCAATTCATCAATCCACTAATCAATTATTCAATACCTCAATTTATCAATCAATCAACTAATCAATTAATCAATCAATTCTTTGCTGATGCAGACACTCGACATTCAACAACATTTAAGGACATTGGTCTCTGCCTTTTGTGGACCAATGGCTCTATGTGTTTTTATCATTGCAATTATTAAGAGAGAGACCAGAGACATACCGGGAGGGACCAGAGAGAGAGACTAGAGAGACACCGGGAGGGACCAGAGAGAGAGACCAGAGAGACACCGGGAGGGACCAGAGAGAGAGACCAGAGAGACACCGGGAGGGACCAGAGAGAGAGACCAGAGAGAGGCCGGGAGTGACCAGAGAGAAGGAACAGAGAGAGACCGAGACAGACCAGAGAGAGAGACCAGTGAGAGAGAGAGAGACCAGAAAGAGAAACCAGAGAGAGACCGGGAGGGACCAGAGAGAGAGACCAGAGAGACACCGGGAGGGACCAGAGAGAGAGACCAGAGAGACACCGGGAGTGACCAGAGAGAAGGAACAGAGAGAGACCGGGACGGACCAGAGAGAGAGACCAGTGAGAGAGAGAGAGACCAGAAAGACCAGATAGAGAAACCAGAGAGAGACCGGGAGGGACCAGAGAGAGGCCGGGAGTGACCAGAGAGAAGGAACAGAGAGAGACCAGGACGGACCAGAGAGAGAGACCAGTGAGAGAGAGAGAGACCAGAAAGAGAAACCAGAGAGAGACCGGGAGGGACCAGAGAGAGAGACCAGAGAGAGGCCGGGAGTGACCAGAGAGAAGGAACAGAGAGAGACCGGGACGGACCAGAGAGAGAGACCAGTGAGAGAGAGAGAGACCAGAAAGACCAGATAGAGAAACCAGAGAGAGACCGGGAGGGACCAGAGAGAGGCCGGGAGTGACCAGAGAGAAGGAACAGAGAGAGAGACCGAGACGGACCAGAGAGAGAGACCAGTGAGAGAGAGAGAGACCAGAAAGAGAAACCAGAGAGAGACCGGGAGGGACCAGAGAGAGAGACCAGAGAGACACCGGGAGGGACCAGAGAGAGAGACCAGAGAGAGGCCGGGAGTGACCAGAGAGAAGGAACAGAGAGAGACCGGGACGGACCAGAGAGAGAGACCAGTGAGAGAGAGAGAGACCAGAAAGACCAGATAGAGAAACCAGAGAGAGACCGGGAGGGACCAGAGAGAGACCGGGAGTGACCAGAGAGAAGGACCAGAGAGAGACCAGGACGGACCTGAGAGAGAGACCAGAGAGAGAGAGAGAGAAACCAGAAAGACCAGAGAGAGACCAAAGAGTCAGAGCAGAGAGAGAAACCAGAGAGAGACAGTGAGGGACCATAGAGAGAGACCATAAAGACCAGAGAGAGACCAAAGAGTCAGGGCAGAGAGAGAAACCAGAGAGAAGCTAGACATAGAGTCTAGAGAGAGACTAGGAAGAGATACCAGAGAGTCAGACCAGAGAGAAACCAGAGCCTCTGAACAAGCCACAAAAGTGTCTCTTCTGACTCCAACTAAAGCTGTCTCATGTTGTACAGCAGTTATAAGGAGTTGTGTATGATGTCGGAGTGCACACACGGCGCATGAGAAGCACACTGTAAAAAAACAAACGCACAATTTCACACACACAAAAACAAATATGGTGAGCACGGTACCAGTAAATCACATCGTCTCCACACACGGACGACAGAAGCAAGACCCGAGCTGAGACCATCCCCATCTCCTCCTCCTCCTCCTCCTCTCACTACAGTCAGACCTAGACAAGTTTTCAATGGTCCATGAAAGAAAAGCAAATCTATATAGACACAGAGAGAACATCTATGGTATCTATCTATGGTATCTATCTATGGTATCTATCTATCTATGGTATCTATCTATCTATCTATGGTATCTATCTATCTATGGTATCTATCTACGGTATCTATCTATCCATGGTATCTATCTATCTATGGTATCTATCTATCTATTCATGGTATCTATCTATGGTATCTATCTACGGTATCTATCTATCCATGGTATCTATCTATCTATGGTATCTATCCATGGTATCTATCTATCTATGGTATCTATCTATCTATCCATGGTATCTATCTATCTATGGTATCTATCTATAGCATCTATCTATCTATGGTATCTATCTATAGCATCTATCTATCTATGGTATCTATGTATCCATGGTATCTATCTATCTATGGTATCTATGTATCCATGGTATCTATCTATCTATGGTATCTATCTATCTATGGTATCTATCTATCTATGGTATCTATCTATCTATGCCATAGATACATAGATACCATAGATTCTAGATAGATACCATAGATACATAGATACCATAGATTCTATGGTATCTATGTATCTATGGTATCTATCTATCTATCTATCCATGGTATCTATGTATCTATGGTATCTATGGTATCTATCTATAGCATCTATCTATCTATGGTATCTATCTATCTATGGTATCTATGTATCCATGGTATCTATCTATCTATGGTATCTTTCTATCTATCCACACGCACAGGGACCGGTCCATACGTACAGGGACCGGTCCATACGTACAGGGACCGGTCCACACGCACAGGGACCGGTCCACACGCACAGGTACCGGTCCACACACAGGGAGCGGTCCATACACACACAGGGACCGGTCCACACACACAGGGAGCGGTCCACACACACAGGGACCGGTCCACACACACAGGTACCGGTCCACACACCAGGGAGCGGTCCATACACACACAGGGACCGGTCCACACACACAGGTACCGGTCCACACACAGGGAGCGGTCCATACACACACAGGGACCGGTCCACACACACAGGTACCGGTCCACACACAGGGAGCGGTCCATACACACACAGGGACCGGTCCACACACACAGGTACCGGTCCACACACACACAGGGAGCGGTCCATACACACACAGGGACCGGTCCACACACACAGGGACCAGTCCACACACACAGGGACCGGTCCATACGTACAGGGACCGGTCCACACGCACAGGCGGTCCACACACACAGGGACCGGTCCACACGCACAGGCGGTCCACACACACAGGGACCGGTCCACACACACAAGGACCAGTCCACACGCACAGGGACCGGTCCACACGCACAGGCGGTCCACACACACAGGGACCGGGCCATACGTACAGGGACCGGTCCACACGCACAGGCGGTCCACACACACAGGGACCAATCCACACACACAGGGACCGGTCCATACGTACAGGGACCGGTCCATACGTACAGGGACCGGTCCATACACACACAGGGACCGGTCCACACACACAGGGACCAGTCCACACACACAGGGACCGGTCCATACGTACAGGGACCGGTCCACACGCACAGGCGGTCCACACACACAGGGACCGGTCCACACACACAGGGACCAGTCCACACACACAGGGACCGGTCCACACACACAGGGACCAGTCCACACACACAGGGACCGGTCCACACACACAGGGACCAGGTGGGTCTGGAGCAGCCGCTGAACATTTGTCCCTCGCAGACAGCTGCTGGTGATTAGCTGCTAACTGGCCCCCGGTGCGCTGGCCCTCGGAGCAGACACGCCAACAACACGCCAACAACACGCCTGTAACCCGCTCGTAAACGTGCACACGCCGGATTCAAACCTACTCTGGTGCGAACGCGATCAAGAATGGAACCAAAACCATCCACAATATACAAACTATGGTTCTTCGAATGGTCAGACATAGAGTTAGAGGCCATTGTGTTATACAAATAAACTTGCCTCGTTTTGAAGTTTCCTTTGTTTGAATCTGCCCTAACAGCTTAATGTCGAAACACACAGAAATGGAAAAGAAGAGGAGGGTTTTTATTCAGATTTGACTGAAATTAGGATTTTACCTAATCTCTCTCTCTCTGGTCTCTCTCTGATCCCTGTTTTCTAGTCTCTCTTTTGGTCCCTCCCTCTGATCTCTGGATCTCTCTCTGATCTCTCTCTCTTTCTGATCTATCTTTCTTGTCTCTCTCTGGTCTCCCTTGTCTCTCTCTGGTCTCATTTTCTAGTCTCCCTCTCTCCAGTCTCTTTCTCTCTCTCTCTCTCTGGTCTCTCCCTCTCTAGGCTCTCTTTCTAATCTATCTTTCTTGTCTCTCTGGTCTCTCCCTGGTCTCAGTCTCTCTCTGGTCTCTCTCAGGTCTTAGTCTCTTTCTAGTCCCTCTTGTCTCGCTCTCTCATTCTGGTGTCATTTTCTAGTCTCCCTCTCTCTGGTCTCTCTCTCCCTCCCTGGTCTCTCCCTCTCTAGGCTCTCTAGCTAATATATCTTCTTTATCTCTCTGGTCTCTCCCTGGTCTCTGTCTCTCTGTGGTCTCTCTTGTCTCGCTCTCTCTCTGGTCTTTCCCTCTCGAGTCTCTCTGGTTTCTCTCTGTATAATCTCTCCCCTCAAAACACCACTTCACATGAACACCACACATCCATAAAGTCATTTCACTGTCATCCCTGCCTCTTCCCCGGTGTGAACGGGGCTCGGACGTGACTCCAACCACGACAGAGCGCAAAGTGCCGTCCCCAAAGCGCCCACACCTGTCACAGCGACCGCACTTGGATCGTCCCAATCGCCTGAGGACCAGAAGAGGACCATGAATCACTCCTGATCCGAGGCAGACTTCTGTGCAGTGCATCAGGGTGTGGCGAGACGTGGAGCTCACACAGGGGCTCTTTATTACCAAAATACACCCCCCTCCCCTCTCCTGACTTCTCGCTGCCAGCTGCCACAACCACCAAACACCCACCCCCCCTCCACCCCCAGCCTCCCCCAGCCTCCCCCTCTCCACCTCCGCCCTGTAGCACCATCCTCCTTCCTCCTGCGGCAGCCAGCGTGGCATGGCGGGTCACCAGGGAGGCACCATGTAGGACGGCCACGGCTGTAGGTCCCCACACTGTGCCTTTGTTTCGGCCGTCAATGGAGCCGTGGAAATGAGGAGGGGAGTCCGCCGTCTGAAACTTACACTAATCATGTATCGTCTTAAAGACCTTATGCCGGGTTTTTAAAAAAAAAATTGTGGATATCAAAATTGCATGACAATGTCGATCTGAAAGAGATTCCGGCAAAAAAAATCCTATATTTTATAAAAAGAACGTGTTTTTCATGAATTTAAGTTGTCTATGCTCTAACCTGTGTGTGACGTCATAGCGGGTTACGCCCATGCATTGAAAACCATGGATCTATGCCACAGGACTGCCTTTTCTCTCTTCTCTCCACTGATGCCCAACACAATACTGCCCTCTACAGGTGACAATTGCTCACTACACATAAATTGCCGTTTTGAGAGTGAAAATGAGTCTGAGCTGGGATTCGAACCCCAGTATCTGGATTGGCAGTGCATCGACACAACCACTGGACTATCTCAGTTCAACATAATGTTATAATGTAGTAGTTATCTCATACTCGCTGTACACGGCCTTGTCATCTTGAATATCCGCGAAAAAAGAACGAATACCAAATTGTAAACTTACAGCGTTGAAACGTACCCACTCTGACGTCACCAAGGGCTGTGAAGCTTTTTTTGTCTCTAAGGGCGTTGCTATGGGGTTATTTTGATTTGGGGGGATCAGACAAAAAAAAACAACAACTGATTTTGAAACCTTTAGTAGTTCTCTTCTAATATAAAATGGTATTAAAACTGTATTTCTAAATAAATCAAACCCGGCATAAGATCTTTAAGTGTAGCTCGGAAACAGTTGTTGTTTAGTGTTTTACCATCGTTATTTTTTTTGCGTTTTTCTACCTGTGAATGCTACTGCAGTAAAGTGTTGATGGTTTTACACTGATCCAGAACCAGAGCAGAAAGGATTCATGGTCCCAACCAAACAGATCAAGTGTAAAACTACTGGAGGAATGCTAATTGTTTTGGAAAATGCTAAAAAAGCATTCGGTATTTCACTCTGAACCAGAGCAGGAGAAAGTTGTCCGAACCAAAGCAGACTCTGTAGACATCAACCAGAGGAAGCAGCTCAGCACCAGCGGCTCCGCCATCTGCTGCTCTGACCCAAAGAGCAATGTATTAGTATTTGGACTTTTAGACTTTAGAATGATGTATTTATTTGCTTGTCTGGATGGATGTGTTTCTGGTGCTGGACCAGTTACCTTTTGAGTAATTCCTTAATGATCCAGGAGGGTCTAAGGTCAGGAAGCTTTTAGCTGAGACCAACAAGTCTTACCATGTATTTCTGTGGAAACAATACACATTTTTACTGTGAAAATGTGTGATGACAAAAGCAAGCTGGAGCCAATATCCTTATATGGGCATTTGTTTCAACAGTGTTAGCATTGCGTCGTAACAGGAGCAGACGTGTTGCTAAGATGGTTGCTAAGGCAAGCTGCAGTTTCCCTGGTGAATACAACCATCTGATTGATCAATCCGTACATGGCTCATCTCCAGATTTAGAGAAGACAATATCACAAACACCAGGATCTGAGTGTGACACTGACGGTTACTGAGTTAGAAGTTTACTTTGCAGCGTAAGTCAATAGAAGTAAGTTTAAGCAAAACTTTGTCCATGAGCACTTCCTTATTGGGCTTAGTTTAGCTAGCGGGTTAGCACTGTCCATACAGGCTGTCTGGTGTTAAACACAAGGACTCCCAGAATTCTGACACTAAAACTCCCAGAATTAAAATCAATGGGTTTTCACTACTATTAAAGTAAAGTAAAGTAATTTGTCTTGTATCTTTAAACATGCTTAAACTGGTTAATATCAACAAAATACAGCAAAGCTAAAAGCTAACTGCTGGAAGTAAACAGTGCGTTGCTACGGTAACCAGCACTATCTTCAAGCTGAGACTGCTCTGAACGAGACCAGAATCTAGATCATTTCATAAACATAACAACATAAAAATAAAATACATGCAAAAAAAGTCATGTCAAAGTTATGAAAACACCAGAACTAGAAGTGCGTCATTTCACGTCCAGTTCTGGTGTTGAGAAGCATCTACAGTCCTTTGAAATGTGTTTTGTCTCCTCAGAGGGAGATCCCCGACTCCCCCAGACCACCTCAGAACCAGCTGTTAGCTCCAGACTGTGGCTCGTGCCTGGTGCCTGAGCCGTGCCAGCCGATCGCGGGGCACACTTTTAACCGGGCCGCTCCCTCCTCGGCATAAAGCCCCGTATTATACTGTACACAACAGCTGTCGGCGAGCGCAGACCGAGGAGCAGAAGCCGAGACAGACCCGCAGACAAACACTTCCTTAAACGGATTATTCTCAGAGCTCCGTTTAAGAGTCTGGATTCTTTAGGAATTTAAATAATCAATGAGTCTTTGGGCCCCTGGAAAAGCCATGTTCCAGCTTCTTCCCTTCTCGCTGAGAGGCAGGATGTTTCGTTTTTGTTAGCAGCTTCTTTCCTTGAGCTGATTGATTTCACTGTGACTATTGTTTCCGGAACTTCTTTAGCTGAGTCTCCTCCAGGTTTCTCATTTTCTCACACTGGGTTTTCAGAGTTTTTCATTAGTTTTATTCTAGTTTACAATAATGTACAATAGCTTCACAGTTGTATGTTTAAATACTCTCACACACAGAAAAAAAAAACAGGATATGTTCAATAATGGGTGATTAAGGAACTAAGTCATAGAAAAATATTATTAAATTAAATTAATTTAAAATGATAGAAGGGTAAATTATACAAACGGAGTATTTAGTCCTGACCAGCAGTTGTTTCGTCTATATTCCAGGCATACTCGACCATTTTTTGAGGAATATTCCAGAAATCCTCCAGGTATACTCAAGGCATATTCCAGACATATTCCAGGAATTTTCTAGGCATCCTTCAGACATATTCCAGGCATAATCCAACCATATTCCTGTACTTTTTGAGCCAGTTTCATGCATGTCTGGTGCACACTGGTTTACTTTTGCGCATGTATTCCAATGTGGTTTTACTGCACATGGCAAACAAACGGACTCTGAATCCTCGCTCTGTCTCGAACCGGTCCAGATTCAGCGTCACCCGTGGCGGTCCAGAGTCAGCGAGTCTCTCAGAGAGAGAGACCAGAGAGAGACTAGAGAGAGACACGGCTTTTAACAGCTGCAGCCGCTCTCAGACCCACAACCAACAGGATTTTAGTATCTCTGGTCTCTTTCTCTCTTCAGCAGCCATGACTTCAGATGGTCAGAAAACTGTACAAAAAAATGCGTGTGAGGATTTTACCGCCTTAAAACACACAACTACTACTTCACATATTCCTCTCATGATACCTCTCCTTTAAGCCATAGTTCCAAAGCCGGTGCCATCATTTCTCCTGTTTAAACATCTCAGGTATGTCAATAACAGCCCTGAAAAGTATCGTGTTCCCTGGTCTGCGGCCTTCAGCGAGCCTCCAGCGAGTCTTCAGCGAGCCTTCAGCGAGCCTTCAGCGAGCCGTGCAGCCCTAAACTGATGATCCACGCAGAGAAAGGCATTTAATCGCCACATCAGTAACTACTTTCATTTTAGATTGGAGGCCCGGCTCACGGTAAGAGCCTCCATATCTCTCTCCATTACCTCGTCATCGGAGAAGGCCACTTGCTTCTTGTCACTATTCACTGAAAAAAGTACAATCCTGGTGAGATTTATGTCCCGAAAATACCATAAATGATGCTTGATTTGTTAATGGCAAGTTTGAATGTAGTTTGTCATGTACTAGTTTTAAGATACTTCATAATGTTATTAGTCTGGTCTCTCTCTGGTCTCTCTCTGGTCTCTCTCTGGTCTCTCTCTGGTCTCTCTCTGATCTCTCTCTGGTCTCTCTCTGGTCTCTCTCTGGTCTCTCTCTCTGGTCTCTCTCTGGTCTCTCTCTGGTCTCTCTCTGATCTCTCTCTGATCTCTCTCTGGTCTCTCTCTGGTCTCTCTCTGATCTCTCTCTGATCTCTCTCTGGTCTCTCTCTGGTCTCTCTCTGGTCTCCCTCTGGTCTCTTTCTGGTCTCTCTCTAGACTCTTTCTGGTCTCTCTTTCTGGTCTCTCTCTGGTCTCTCTCTGATCTCTCTCTGGTCTCTCTCTGGTCTCTTTCTGGTCTCTCTCTAGACTCTTTCTGGTCTCTCTTTCTGGTCCCTCTCTCTGGTCTCTGTCTGGTCTCTCTTTCTGGTCTCTCTCTCTGTTCTCTTTCTGGTCTCTCTCTGGTCTCTCTCTGATCTCTCTCTGGTCTCTCTCTGATCTCTCTCTGGTCTCTCTCTAGACTCTTTCTGGTCTCTCTTTCTGGTCCCTCTCGCTGGTCTCTGTCTGGTCTCTCTTTCTGGTCTCTCTGTCTGTTCTCTTTCTGGTCTCTCTCCCATCTCTCTCTCACTGGTGTCTCTCTGGTCTCTCTCTCTGGTCTCGCTTTCTGGTCTCTCTCTGGTGTCTCTCTCTGGTATCTCTCCCATCTCTCTCTCTGGTCTCTCTCTTTGGTCTCTCTCTCTCTGGTCTCTCAGGTCTCTCCCTCTGGTCTCTCTCTCATCTCTCTGTAGGGCCTGGTTTATTTATTTTTAGTAAATAAATCTTACCAGGATATAACTTTTTTCAGTGTACATAGTGCGCCGGCTCGTTAACGGATAAATATAAATACACATGGAGTATTTTTAGGATTTTACGTGGGTCTGAACAACATGTGGATTCATGTGGACTCATGTGGACTCATGTGGACTCGCGGTCTCAGGCTCAGGTGCGTTTTGTAAAAAGGAGAGAGACTCATTCAAACAGTGAGCCTCAGTATGAAATGACTGTATAGCCCTAAATCACGACAGTAGTTACAAAGTTGTTGATTCGGCCAACACCAGATCAGAGAATCAAACCGTTTTATACACAAGGAATGGAAGGATTAAAAAAACGTATAGAGCCTTTGGTCGAGAAGGAGCAGAGACCAATGTCCATAAATGTTGTTGAATGTCAAATGGTCTCAGTCGCTCTGGTCTCACTCTGGTCTCTCTCTGGTCTTTCCCTGTTCCCTCTGGTCTCTCTTTGGTCCCTCTGGGGTCTCTCTGGTCTTTCCCTGCTCCCTCTGGTCTCTCTCTGGTCCCTCTGGTCTCTCTCTGGTCTTTCCCTGCTCCCTCTGGTCTCTCTCTGGTCCCTCTGGTCTCTCTCTGGTCTTTCCCTGCTCCCTCTGGTCTCTCTCTGGTCCCTCTGGTCTCTCTCTGGTTTTTCCCTGGTCCCTCTCTGGTCTCCCTCTGGTCTCTCTGGTCTTTCCCTGGTCCATCTCTGGTCTCCCTCTGGTCCCTCTGGTCTCTCTCTGGTCTCTCTCTGGTCCCTCTCTGGTCTCCCTCTGGTCTCTCTCTGGTCTTTCCCTGGTCCCTCTGGTCTCCCTCTGGTCCCTCTGGTCTCTCTCTGGTCTTTCCCTGGTCCCTCTGGTCTCCCTCTGGTCCCTCTGGTCTCCCTCTGGTCCCTCTGGTCTCTCTCTGGTCTTTCCCTGGTCCCTCTGGTCTCTAGTAGACATTGTTCTCTTGGACTACCCTGAAATCATCACCACTGTCCTTAGACCCTCGGAAGACTTTACAAAGTTGTCTATATGTGTATGTGAGTGACTGTGTGGCAAATGTGTGTGTGCATGTGTGTGTCTACGTGTATCTGTAAGTGTGTGTGTGTGCTTTTACATAAGCGTGTACGTATGTGTGAGTGAGGACGCAAATGTGTAAGTGTGTCTTTAAGTGTGTGTGCTCTTACATAAGCGTGTATGTGTGTACGTGAGTGTGTATGGTGTGTGTGTGTGTGTGTGTGTGTGTATGTATGTATATGTGTGCGTGTGCGTGCGTGTGTGTGTGTGTGTAGCAGAGCCTGCACCTGTCCCCTCCCTGTCTCCCAGTTGGTCTCCATAACGAACAGCTGTCAGACTGAAGCCACATTCTGCTGCTCACAGAAACACATGGAGTATTTTTAGCTTTTCAACCAGAGAGAGACCAGAGAGAGACCAGAGAGAGAGAGAGACCAGAGAGAGACCAGAGAGAGACCAGAGAGAGACCAGAGAGAGACCAGAGAGAGACCAGAGAGAGACCAGAGAGAGAGAGACCAGAGAGAGACCAGAAAGAGAGAGACCAGAGAGAGAGACCACAGAGAGACCAGAGAGAGACCAGAGAGAGAGAGAGACCAGAGAGAGAGAGAGAGAGACCAGAGAGAGACCAGAGAGAGACCAGAGAGAGACCAGAGAGAGACCAGAGAGAGACCAGAGAGAGACCAGAGAGAGACCACAGAGAGACCAGAGAGAGACCAGAGAGACAGAGAGACCAGAGAGAGACCAGAGAGAGAGACCAGAGAGAGACCAGAGAGAGACCAGAGAGAGACCAGAGAGAGAGAGAGACCAGAGAGAGACCAGAGAGAGACCAGAGAGAGACCAGAAAGAGAGAGACCAGAGAGAGAGACCACAGAGAGACCACAGAGAGACCAGAGAGAGACCAGAGAGAGAGAGAGACCAGAGAGAGAGAGACCAGAGAGAGACCAGAGAGAGACCAGAGAGAGACCAGAGAGAGAGAGACCAGAGAGAGACCAGAGAGAGACCACAGAGAGACCAGAGAGAGACCACAGAGAGACCAGAGAGAGACCAGAGAGAGAGGTCTCTATCTCTGCTCTCTTTCTGGTCTCTCTCTCGTTTGTTAAATCTGCCTGTAATAGTGCACTGCCTGGACAAGTATGTGTATGTGCCACAGTCGTACCCGCCCCGCAGTTTGAGAACCCCCCCCTTCCCCCCCCTCCTCCTCAAAGGCCCCAGTCAGCAGAGCCCGGGCCGCTCTGTACGGGGACAGGAAGCGTCTGCAGGTATCCAGTCTTTTCATGTGCCCCAGTCCTGCTGAATCTACACATTACTTTTTTTTTAACCTCGCCACCCGAACAGAGCGAGCCCAGTCCTCGCCGCAGAATCAAAGGAAGAGTTGTAAAAATATAGCGTGTGTCCACAGACTATTTTGGGTTCGGTAAAAAATAGTTCTGAACGCGGCCCACGGCTTGAAATAGGTAATTGCAAAATAGGGCCTCCTCATGTGATCTGAAGTGTTCACCGTGCAGGACTAATGATGGGATGTTTGAGCTGAATTTCTCGCGGGTCTCAGTCTCTCTCCTCGCTCTGGTCTCTCTGTGGTCTCTCCCTGGGCCCCTCTGGTCTCCATCTGGTCTTCACCTGGTTCCTCTGGTCTCAGTCTCTCTTGTAAGTACACATTTTCCACTTGGATTATCAAGAAACAGCAAATTCTTTCTCTGGTCTATGTCTGGTCTCTCTCTCTGATCTCTGGTCTCTCTCTGGTCTCTCTTTAGTTTCTCTCTCTAGTCTCTGCCTGGTCTCTCTCTCTGATCTCTGGTCTCTCTCTCTGATCTCTGTCTGGTCTCTCTCTCTCTAGTCTCTCTCTGGTCTCTTTTGCAGGTCTCTCTCTCTAGTCTCTATCTTTTCTCTCTCTCTCTAGTCTCTGTCTGGTCTCTCTCTCTGGTCTCTTTTGCTGGTGTCTCTCTCTAGTCTCTATCTGGTCTCTCTCTGGTCGGTCTCTCTCTCTCTCCCTCTCTCATGTCTCTCACTTTCCAGTCTCTCTCGTCTCTCTTTCTAGTCTCGCTCTCCTGTCTCTCTCCTTTCCCTCTCTCATGTCCCTTCATTCTGGAATATTCCCAAAGGCCCTGAAAACGGCAGTCATCAGGCCCCTGCTTAAAAAGAGCAGTCTCGATGCTACGGTACTTAACAACTACCGTCCCATCTCAAATCTGCCATTTATGGGGAAAGTCCTTGAAAAAGTTGTCTACCAACAGCTAAATAGATTTCTTATAATCAACAACTCATTTGATATGTTTCAGTCCGGCTTTAGACCCCACCACAGCACTGAGACTGCTCTTGTCAAGGTTACAAATGATATCCGGCTAAACACTGACGCAGGCAAAGTCTCAATCCTAATCCTGTTAGATCTAAGTGCAGCTTTTGACACCGTCGACCATGAGATCCTCTTACAGAGACTAGAGGACTGGGTTGGCGTCGCTGGCACCGCCCTAAGTTGGTTTAGGTCTTACCTTGAAGACAGGAAGTACTTTGTGGAGATTGGAAACTGTCTCAGATCATATGGCCCTGACCTGTGGCGTACCACAGGGGTCGATCCTGGGACCTCTTCTGTTCAATCTCTACATGCTGCCGTTAGGTCAGTTAATACGCAGAAACAAAGTGTCCCATCACAACTATGCAGACGACACTCAGATCTATGTCTCACTGACTGCAGGAGAACATGGACCAGTGGACTCACTCCTTCACTGTATCCAACAGATCAGTGAGTGGATGCAAAACAACTTCCTTCAGCTAAACGCAGACAAAACTGAAATGATTGTCTTTGGTCCCCAGAAACAAAGAGAGAGCGTCATCTGTCATCTACAGTCTCTCTCCCTAAAACCTTCAAACAAGGTCAGAAATCTAGGGGTAATACTGGACTCAGACTTAAATTTTAATAGCCACATCAAATCAGTAACATCAGCAGCTTTTTACCATCTAAAAAAATTTCCAGGATCAAAAACATAGTGTCTAAAGCAGACTTGGAGATTCTTATCCATGCATTTGTCTCCAGTAGGTTAGACTACTGCAATGGCCTGCTCACAGGTCTGTCCAAACAGGCTGTAAAACAGCTGCAGTACATTCAAAATGCAGCAGCTCGAGTCCTGACTAGAACCAGGAAGTACGACCACATTAGTCCGGTCCTCAGGTCTCTGCACTGGCTTCCTGTGGCTCAGAGAATAGACTTTAAAACAGCTCTGCTTGTGTACAAATCTCTCCATGGCCTCGCACCAAAATATATTAGTGACATGTTAGTCCCATATGAACCAGCCCGGACTCTGAGGAGCACAGGGACTGGACTCCTGTTAGTGTCCAGAGTCAGGACTAAACATGGGGAGGCTGCTTTTCAGATTCATGCTGCTAAAATCTGGAACATTCTTCCTGAAGATGTGAGACAGGCCTCCTCTCTGACAATGTTTAAAACCAAGTTAAAAACGGTGCTGTTTAGCTGTGCATACAACTGAGGGATTTTATATTTTTATCTTTCTTTTTAATGTTCTGTGATTATTTATGATTTTAATGCTATCTTGTTCAGCACTTTGAGTTGCCTTGTGTATGAATTGTGCTATACAAATAAACTTGCCTTGCCTTGCCTTGCCTTGCCTCTGGTGTTAGAGTGTGTTCTCTCTCTCTGGTGTTAGAGTGTGTTCTCTCTCTCTGGTGTTAGAGTGTGTTCTCTCTCTCTCTGGTGTTAGAGTGTGTTCTCTCTCTCTCTGGTGTTAGAGTGTGTTCTCTCTCTCTCTGGTGTTAGAGTGTGTTCTCTCTCTCTCTGGTGTTAGAGTGTGTTCTCTCTCTCTGGTGTTAGAGTGTGTTCTCTCTCTCTCTGGTGTTAGAGTGTGTTCTCTCTCTCTGGTGTTAGAGTGTGTTCTCTCTCTCTCTCTCTCGTCACCGGTGTCACTCAGTCACCGGGCGGCACGGTGGCTGAGTGGATAGCACTCTCGCCTCTCAGCAAGAAAGTCCTGGGTTCGAATCCCGGTTGGACCAGGGCCTTTCTGAGTGGAGTTTGCATGTTCTCCCCGTGTCTGCGTAGGTTTCCTCCGGGTGCTCCGGTTTCCCCTACCACTAAAAATATGTACAATAGGTCTGGCATGTGCCTCCTGTACTGGCACCCCTGCTCCCAAAAAATAACAATTGTAAACCGCTTTGAGACTCCGATGTGCAGTGAAAAGGCGGTATATAAATAAAGATTACTACTACTACTACTACTACTACTCTCTGTCTGGTGATAGAGTGTGTTCTCTCTCTCTGGTGTTAGAGTGTGTTCTCTCTCTCTCTGGTGTTAGAGTGTGTTCTCTCTCTCTCTGGTGTTAGAGTGTGTTCTCTCTCTCTCTGGTGTTAGTGCCGTGTCACAGACTGGATCTCTGCAGGAAACTCTGAATAATGAGGAAGCTGCAGGTTTGGAGTCATAAAAAAAACATATGTGAAGCAAGTTTCTTTGAATTTGCTGCTTCAGGGAAGTCCCGGCGGAAATAATGAGAGACTAGAAAGACTAGACCAGATAGAGAAACTCCCGAAAATGAGACCAGAGAGAGAGAGAGAGAGAGACCATAGACAGACCAGAGACAGACAAGAGAGAGACCAGAAATAGACCAGGGAGAGACTATAAAGAGACCAGAGAGAAACAAGAGACAAGATGGAGAAACCCCCCCAAAAAAGAAAAAGAAAGAGAGACACAGGAGAAAAAACAGAGAAAGAGAGAGAGACCAGAGAAAGAGAGAGAGAGAGAGAGAGAGACAGAGAGAGAGATAAAACAGCAGAGGAGTGTTGTGAACGTCACACAAAGATGTGAAATTTTGTGACAGTTTTCAAGTTAATTGTTCTGAGAATCACAGACTAATCTGACTTGGACACTCCCCATGGTTACCAGGAAAGATGCTTCTGGTCCATCACCATGTGGAGCTATGGGCTCTCTCTCTGGTCTGTGGCAGGCAGTTCAACAGTGACATGGAGGAAGTCTGCTGGGCTTTAGAGAGACCAGAGATAGAGACAGGAGAGAGACCAGAGAGAGAGACAGGAGAGAAACCAGAGAGAGAGACCAGAGAAAGACCACAGAGAGAGACCAGAGAGAGAGACAAGAGAGAGAGACCAGAGAGAGAGACAGGAGAGAAACCAGAGAGAGACAGGAGAGACCAGAGAGAGAGACAGGAGAGAGACCAGAGAGAGAGACAGGAGAGAGACCATAGAGAGAGACTGGAGAGAGCGAGCAGAGAGAGAGAGAGACAGAAGAGAGAAACAAAGGAGAGAGCAGAGAGAGAGACAGGAGAAAGAGACTGGAGTGGGAGACCAAAGAGAAAAACATTAGAGACCAGAGAGAGACAGAAGAGAGAAAGATAGAGACAGGAGAAGGAAATCAGAGAGCGAGAGAGACCAGAGAGACCAGTAAGAGAGACCAGAGAGAGAGAGAGACTGGAATGAGAGACCAGAGAGAGAGAAAGGAGAGAGAGACAGGAGAGAAACCAGAGAGAGACAGGAGAAAGAGACCAGAGAGAGAGACAGGAGAGAGACCAGCGAGAGAGACAGGAGAGAGAAACCAGAGAGAGAGACCAAAGAGATGGACAGGAGAGAGACCAGAGAGAGAGACAGCAGAAAGACCAGAGACAGCGACAGGAGAGAGACCAGAGAGAGGGACAGAGAGAGAGACTGAAGGGAGAGAAAGCAGAGATAGAGAGAGACCATAGAGAGAGACTGGAGAGAGCGAGCAGAGAGGGAGAGAGACAGAAGAGAGAAACAAAGGAGAGAGCAGAGAGAGAGACAGGAGAAAGAGACTGGAGTGAGAGACCAAAGAGAAAAACAGGAGAGACCAGAGAGAGACAGAAGAGAGAAAGATAGAGACAGGAGAGGGAAACCAGAGAGAGAGAGAGACCAGAGAGACCAGAGAGAGAGAGAGACTGGAATGAGAGACCAGAGAGAGAGAAGAGAGAGCAGAGAAGAGAAAGATTATTCTCCGGTCTCTCTGGACGTGGAAGGAAGTCTGCAGAGCTGCCGGTCGGAGGATATTTATAGGCCACAAAACAAAACATGTTTAGACCGAACCGAAGATTAAAACATTTTTAGACACGAAACGGAAGCAATCCACAAACAATATCAACGGCTGCTGATGGAGCCGTGGACGCACACTGCAAAAAGCAAAGAAAAACAAACAAAAATGGCTTAAAATGGGCAAAAAGTATCTTGATTGGAGCACTTTTTTGACTGCCTTAAAACGAGATTTTCCAACAGGACGAGCAAAATGATCTTGTTTTTAAAGATACAAGAAAAAAG